TTTTTTCATTTGTATAGCAGTCAGACTCGAGTAATTCAAGTTTTAAGTTTAATTTTTACATCCTGGATAAACACAAATGGCTACGAATACACTTTGCTATCAGGTTTCTTGATAATTTATAAAAGATCTTCTTGTAAAGTAATTATCACAGCGGTTATTGTTGAAGTAGACATAGTATAAACTTACGGTTTCGAGCTGCATGTATTTCAACGCTGCAGTTTCTGTAACATAAAATCGAGGATTAAGTGAATGCAAATAATATAATAGTGAATAGAAAGTGATCAATGCCGATTAGACAAAAACTAGGTGGTCATGTGTTACTAACTTTATTCATATTTAATACTTCAGCGAAAGTAAAATTTGGTGTGTCTAAACATTATACTGCCACTTTAATAAATGCTTGTATCACCTAAATATTTATTAATAGATTTGTTGTATTCAGATATTTAGTGTCACTACTTACTATCTGATGACCATCGAATTTAATTTTTTGCGTATTTTATGGATTCTATTTTTTACGTTGAGTTCTTTTAAGAACGAATTTGTACATTTTTATTAATTATTTTGTGTTTTCTGTGTATTCTTTTCAGATATCGATTTGGTTTTGGGACCTCAAAACATTTTCTAAAACAACTTTTAAATTGAATGTAGTTTAGTAAATATTCTTTCGTTATGTTATCAATTTCGATTTCAATGGGGTTCAATATTGAAAAGTATTTTTGTCTTGTGAAGCAGATTACAGTTTTTATTGATTCAATACATGTTATCCTTTACGCAGTTTCATACGAGTAACTATTTATCCATGACCATCTGAAAAACTATTCCAAATTGTTGACGCCCAATTAAGGATGAAACGCGCTCCACAACCGCAGTTTTTTAATACGCTGCATTCTACGCAGTTTGTGGAATTCCAGAAATGCATGTATTTTAAAGCGTTTTACCAATATTCCGACATTCTTCTTACATTCCCGAAGCTCAGTCTGTCTGTTCAAGTTAATTTGGTATGTAACTTGTTACTCCCCATTTAACAGTTTGTAACATTGAACAAAACAGAGAATGCGAACCTGGAATTACAAATTAATTCTGACCGCTAAACGCATTTGATTGACTTCCCTTTGTATTAGGAACAAGCGTTGTAATATGCATTAATATAATGGCAACAACATACATCAATGTACACATAGAACATCATTAACCCTTTGACTGCGGGATGACTTTTGTTGAAAATTCTAAAACGCGTAGAGGTGTGAATTTTGAAAAAATATCAACTTATAGGATATGATAAGGCGGAACTTTTTTATATATACAGCTTATTTATAAGATGTTTAGTTTCAAAAATAAAAATTAGAAACTTAGAAGACCTTTTTCCTGAAATTCAATTTTTCTAACGATCTTTTAACTATTCAATTTTTATTTTCGAAACTAAGCATTCTATGAACAAACTGTACATATAAAAAAGTTTCTTCTCATCATCCCCTATAAGCTGCTATTTTTTAAAAATTGTTTAATGAATGCAAACATTTCTCTGAACCCATTTCTCGAGGGCGTATACATATACGCCGTTCGTAGTTAAAGGGTTAAGGAAGGAAACCATCTTGGAAGCGTGAAAATCATAGTTAAATCATATTCAACAATCTTTTTTTCGAAAACAATTGTCTTAATAGAAAATCTATTCGCTGGCGTTTATCATGCACATATTGAGGAATGAAAAAGTAATTTTCATTCTGATTTTTAAAATAAAGTAGCTATATTGGAGCCACTACGCGACAAGTCTTTTTCCGAGTCATGCGTATTTGAAAAATGACAACATTTTTATAAATAATTTTGTCGCATAGTATAATTTTTTGGTGACCATCGCTCCCAAAATCAAATAGTTAGAGAAGCGCTCACTTCAAGGTGTCAATTGCTCGTGAGAAAGAATGATCTAAAGAGAGGATGACGATAAAAATTTGATAACTTCCAAAAGAAAACGCAACCAGACTTGGATTTCGTCCAAATTGTTGCATCACTTGTCTGTTAAGATGAACGTTATTATACCCCTTTCATCGAATAGAATGTTTCACACTTTAAGTGCCAGACATACTCATGAAAATATTTATGAAACTTGAATTTTGTCCTTATACAATTGGAATCCATACTATCCAACATTTGCGATAGTATTTATTTTTAGAAAACAATCAAAAGTCACGAGTCCTATCCAAACTCGTTTTCATTAACACCCGATCTTCAGAATTAATTTTTCAATTCCTTAGTTGAAATCCCTGTTTCTCATATATAGGTGACGTGTTTATTTATAACCACGTTGATTTTGATTGGTGCAATTGCGCTAGTTCATCGGAGAAAGCAGTCTGTCGAAAATGAACGTGGTCTCCCCCATAATTTTCCCAAACTCAGCGGGAAAAATAAATGGGATTTATTACCCCCCTCCCCTTTTCTCGCTACTTATCTTTTATGGTAACTTCTTGGCGCCTTCTGATTTCCATTCGTATCAATCTTTATAGGGGACGCGTGATGACACCAACTTCGGCGACCTCGAAATTTACGATAACCCAGGAAAATCACGTTAAAAGCTTTTTCTTAAAATAGAAGTTTCACGACATAAAACTTTGCCTCGGGTTCAATTTTCCTCGGTGTTAATCACAAAGGTAGAAAATATTAGATGTAGAAATTATTTATATGCCCTCATATTCAATTGCTTCTAAGTATAGATTAAATAAAAATGTGTATTTGACATTTTGTTACGTTAAATTACCAAACTTTCAAATTGTTAATCAGATTTCCATTGTAACGAATCTATATACATAGAAGTCTCAACCTGATGGTCATTGCAATTTATCTATATATAGAGAGAGAGTTCAGTAGCCCACAAATTTTTATTAGACAATATATTAAGCAATATTACAACAAACTAAAGATAGCAAAGTGTCGAAAATGATATCAGTTTATATAATATTATTATTATATAGCATAATTTTATTATAATTATTTATTATATATATAATAGAATTTTTTACATATTATTATGCAACGATTGAATAAAAGTGTCAATAAGTGTTTAAAATTATATAATTCTCGACACTTTACTATTTTTACTTTCTTTATCAACTGTCAATCATACTCTCAATTTTATTTATCTTTATACATTTCAGACATTCAATTTTATTTATCTTTATACATGCATTTGCAACTGCATCATAAAATATTTGCAGAATTACTGCATAAAGTGTACAGGCCATTTAAGAACAGCAGTTACAATTATAATGGTGTGACGAAAAGCACAGAAATAGAAAGAAAAGTCTAGGTGAGCACAGGTTAACAAACTGATTGATTGTTATCCAAGGTATTCAGCTTTACAATTTCCAAACTGGGTTTTCAGTTGCATATACCGTGCCATGATTGATAGTTGAAGAACGCATGGCCACTATATCTTATTGTAAGCGACCTCGGCATGTATTACCAGCGTATCCATTAAAGTAAATGGTGGCCAGTTTGAACGTCTACTCTAAACTACGGTTAGTTTGACACTTATGTTTGCTTAGATATTTCTATTTGTTTCTATGCGAGTTCCATTAACCACTTATCGCTTTAGCTAGGTATTATATCTGTGTACCAACCATTTCAATAGTTATTTTAAGGAGTTTTTAACGTAAAAACTGTGTAATTTAGAAAGTTCAAATTTGAATACCTGAATATGTATATCTAGACTGAATATATATAGTATACAAATATTTAATATATGTCAAGATATTTCTTGTAAAAATTGTTTATGTTGAGAATGATTGGAAAATGACGTTGCATAACAATTGTCTTGAAACAGTATTTTTCAGTTAATAGGTAAGATGATTAAAAAAAAAAGTGACATGTTCCATTATAAAAATGTTATTTTAAGTGTTCGTATGGATGCCATTTATTTGATTGATCTGCTATGCTTGATCAGTGCAAAACTATTGACAGCTGTCAGTAATCGTCACAAAAAAAAATCTTACACAGAGTGCCGTTGTACGTTTGTGACAATTATTACTTAAAAAATTAAATACACTATATAATTCAACAATTGGAACGAATAATTTTGAGTATTTTTAAAAATCATTATTATGGTCATTACAGTTATCGTAAGGCAAATGTGATACTAATTCCAAATACTTGGTAATATATACAGTTACTATTTTTATTTTATTCATTTAAAATTATGACATACTATTATCATCTATAATTAATACATTCCGTTACTTAATTTGGTATATTATAATTTGTTAAATACATGAAACGATTAAATGAAATTCGTAAGTAAAAGCAGTGTAACTATTTATTACATTCGAAGGAATGGCATAAAAGGAATATTTATGCAGACGAAATCGTGTTTGTAACAATTCAATGTACTCCATTTTGGATAAACCAGTTCCTTCGACATTATTAGTCGTTCACAAATTTCTTAAACAGCATTACTTGCATTTGTTGCATATTGGTTAGAAATTAATTAGAATGGCTTCTAGTAGTTTTCTGCATAATTGCATACTCTATATAAATGTGTATCACTAATAAGTTCGTAGAGGAATTTATAGTTGATAATATTACTAACGATAGCCTTATTACCACTTATTTATTAATTAATACAGCCAATAGTTAGACTGCGGATTTTATGTATTTATGACTTACAATAATATGGAAAATATACATAATATATGCTGAATATATTCTATAATTAATATAATAATATTTCGTTTTCTATAAATGCATATAAAACCTTTCGGTTATGTTTAGCATGTATTTATAATATCATCTTGTATCATAAACGCATAAAGTCTGCAATCTGCTAACAATAATACCTATAGTTTCATGGCTATGGAGTCTCATAAATGAAACAAAACTGTGTTTATCGCTTCGATGAATGTCTTCAGTTGTCTTGTTTGCGGAGATTTGAAATAGAAGAACTCTACGTATACTACCCTTATCTCGAAGTGTCCGCATCTCCGGTATCAGGTGTATCTGTTTACTTTCAGGAAATCTCGTGTGTTTGTGGAAGATGGATCGATAGACAACATTCTATCCGCCTATCTTCGCGAGGGATAGAATACAATACCTATTTGCAGAAAGAGCAGTCGAATCTAAAACGTCCGACTACTTATGTGAAGCTCGGGAGTTGACCGACCAAGATCCGTATGTTATTTGAATTTATTTCACGTTGAAATATTTGCCAATAATTTCACTGAGTTACAATGGGACACGCGTCACTTTTCAATTAGTCTGCCAGTACACGTGTTGTTTGTTTACTTTCACGTTCCCTTCATGTTTATTCAGGTATTCATGTACGTTGCAAAAGAAGCTTACCGTTCGCTGTTTACCATACGGTTTAAAAAAAAAAAATGTTTTGAAGGGAGACGGTAAAATGACCGAAACGTGCTCTGCATTTTTTGTTTCCACGCCTGTCCGTACGAAACAAAGTTAACTTTTGTCAGCCACGATTCGTTGAATATTATACGCCATTAGTATGCGGAATTAGAATGCAACGTTTTCCTACCGAGGCTTTGAGATTGTATTTTTTAACACGGGATGGTTGTTTTATGAATGTATCCATAAACACTAACCAATATTAATATAGATACATTTTTTCTATGAATAAGTAAGTTGCAGTTTCTCTGAAGAATGGATTAATTTTATTGCATATGTAAATTAATTTACGTTGATATCTCCATATCTTATTATAATTACTATATAACTACCTAATATAAAAAAGAATTCTCTGCTTGAATTCATACTATTCGAATCCAATATGCTCTTTGAACAATGTTCTCTTTATTTTGTGAGTAAACTGAAAATAACATCATTTTCACTTTTTGCTTACTAATAACTTTCTGATTATTAATTCTTTTTTAGTGTTTCGAAAGACATTCATCGAACAACGTAAATTTACTAAATTTATAAATACAATTGCTTGAAGCTTGAAAACAGACATGATTACAATTAATCCATTCGACCAGAATAACGAATCAAACTCGTGCTGTTATCACAATAATTTTAGAATTTAAATAAATTGAATTAAGTTTAGATACATAAAGAAAAAATATTCATCAATATACAATCATTTCTCCGTTTGCTAAACTGTTTTCTGTTTGTAAAATAATTAATTCTGGAAAAGAATTGTATTCTACCAATATATATTCCCCTTAAAAGAGTGGAACATTGCCTTAGCAAGTTTTTTTATAGCACTATAAATAATAGAGATTTTCAAGGTACACAACATTAACAATCCACCCCCTTTCATCTACTATATTTTGATTTCTTTTTCCGTGTTATTGAAATAGAAAATTTCAAGATAACATGCATTTTTGCATGAATTTATATGTGTAAACTGTATAATAGATAACAACGTCTCCCCGGCGTACGTTGTCTCCTTAGAGAAAACATCTCATAATCAGTACAAAGGGCCAATAAAAATCTTCTGTAGGATTGATTCATAAATAAATTCCGGTGCAGAAAACAAATAATACCATCAAGGAACCCCCTACAGGTAGCAATTTTTAATCTGCCTGGTAAATAGAAACAAATGTTAATCATATAAACTCAACTCAATATATTATATATGGAGTAACTATTTCGGGTTTAATTAAAATTAAACGTGACATTTCCGATATCTCGGTCTTGCTCGAATTATCCGATAGTTTTTATTTCAATTAGCCTTTCATTCGCGGTCCAGACGAAATCAATAATTTCGACCATTAAATGTATTCGGCTGGCGTCACAGTTGGCCTGTTTTCGCTGTTTCGGCAACGCCTAGAAACAACTCGCACAGAAATCAATTTTTCACTAGCTAGATACGCCCTGTATTTGTCATAAATAACGGTGAACGAAGTGTTTCTATGAAATTTTCACCGACGTCCGCACCTTGGAAATCACATTCCACGCAGGTGAGAGATTTACTCCATCGAAAAGTCGAAGCGTATGCGTTATATTGTATCGCGGACAGGAGCCCATACGTTCGTCTCTGGACAAATATACATCGGGAATATACGCTTAAAGGGAAGGCTGTGAATCTTTGCTAGTTCGGTCCTTTTTGCACGCGACTACCTACAAATCGTGGATTTAATCGGACTCACGTTCCCGTGCCATCGCGCAATTTCTGGGATAATATATCGCGTATTGGCAGCAGAGACTGTTATAGCCATGCAGAAATCAATTATTCGCATGGATTCGCACGAATGACTGGATGTATTGATGGTTAGACCGTAAAAGTGTCACTCATGCTATTTAAGAGTGACTTGGAACCGACAAAGCGTTCACGCAGATTCGAATAAGTCTCATTCTTGGTTCGTCATTCAATCGGAAGCAACATACTTGAAAACAGAATAACGAAAATTTCTATTTATTTTGTTGAATTTATCTAATAAACTCTGCATGAAGTGTGAAGTTAATCTTCTGAGATGAGTCTGATCTTGGCTTACTTAATAGTTTAATTTGATAAGATTTAACAAATTTTGAAACTGATGGAACAATAAATTGCATTTAAAGCAATCTAAAACAGTCATCTTCTGTAAAAATGTCGCGAATGTTGTCAAAAAGTTCCTTGTAGTAAACAAAAATCATTCATTTTTATGTAATTAATGTAGTATCGCCTCCTATACCCAAGAATAAAGAGTAAAACAAGAATACGAATCGTAGGGTGTGGGAATGGTCGCATCAGAAAAGCGGTCGGCTGTGGATCCGAGGATCGTGGGTTCGGATCTCCGTGGCTTATTTATTTTTCGTTTAGACTTCTACGTTATTATTCAATAAAAATCATCAAAACCAAAACACTTGAAAATAAAACAAAGAAAATTTGTATTTGTTCTGTAACATCTATAAAATAAATTGTGGATAAAGTGTATCGTGATCGTAAGTACGAGTGAATCGTGTGTAAGCTTTAACAGATTATGCTTGAAATTGATATTAACCAATAAAAATATGCTAAGCCATGTTAAAAAGCCTATTAGTAAATACAGAACCCACTTTCTATAAAAGTATCACTAATGATGTTAAAATGTTCCTTTTTGTAGAGAAAAGGAAATTTTTAAAAATCCTTTTATTTCATTCTTAAGCATATCTTTTATCCTTATGTAATTATTCAATATAAAATGTATATATAACGAAAAAATGTTCAATGTGAAACAAATTTATATTTGCTGTGTAGGATCCATGGGACAGATTCTACGTATATACAGTGTAAATTTGTTAGACTTTTGGATCATGTAACATTTCAGACGACAAGATGGTGTTTCGTCTTGGATCTACTGGTGGACTCTTCAGTGAAGCTTAGCAGATTTTCCCCGAGACTGATCAAACAATAAATAGCGTTTAAGGCAGGATCTACAGAGCTTACCGAAGAGTCTAGTAGCTAATCCTGGACGGAACGCCATCTTCTCGTCTTCAAAGAAATTATATACTCTAAGAGACTAACAAATTTATAGTTCGTATAAAATTTATGTTATGAATCCTACAGAGTAAATTCAAATTCTCTTTGTTTTATTTTGGGTGCTGTTAGTTTTGATCGAATAATTAAACAAAGTTGTAAGACCTGTTTGAAGACTGAGTTAATGAGAAGAGCTATTTCATTATATAACAGTTTTAAATAAAACGCAAAATAACTGTGAGTCTACTGTATTATCCAAACTGAACGTTTGCATTCCCTCGGTAAACCATGTACAAAAAGTTAAAATTAGAAAGTATGATGGTTTAAATTGCCCAAAAATTTATGAAATTTAATTGCATTTGTTGTACACAGTTACAATATAGATAAAAAAAATAATTATCTCATTCTAGTCTAGGAGATCTGCCAAACATTTTTCTTAAAAAGTTTCTTGATCACATAATAACAAAAAAGAATGAAATGTTAAAGATTGTATTAAAAAATATGATATTAACGATTATAATAAAACTAGTGATAAATATAATAGTTAGTCTCCAAATTTATAAAAATTACAAGTACAACAATTAACATCCACTTTAATTCGCTTAAGCTTAAATAATACGAAACAAACTTCAAATCTATTATTATTTTAAGTCAGAAGCTCTTTAAATTAAATCATTTTTAAAATCTGTAGAATATAATAATTTTACATGAAATTTATACAAAGAATTTATATACAGTTGGATTGGAATATTTAAAGTGAAATCATAGTATAACAAATTATTAAGATACAATATAAACAAAACTTTGTAGATCATAAATTAAAAATAAACAGTTATATTTTCAAGGATTGGATGTATCAGAAAAGGAAAATATGAAGAATTGTAAATACAAATAATATATTGTTTCTTTAATAGATTAAATTAAATCTCTAATACATTTGTATATTAAGTTGTATATTAAAATAAGTTTTGATTAAAATATATATTTAAATCTTGAACAAAAATGAATTTTGGCTGCGACAGCTGCGTGTACCTTAAAAACAAAATCCTAAAGCCCCTCTTAGAAAACTCTTTATGATCAACAATAATGGTAAATGTGGTACTTTGTTTGAAGAAAAATGCCTTATAAATACTCATAATAAGAGTGCTTCATTTGTTTTTGCCACGATATCGTCGACAATCCAAAATGCCTGCTATCAACGAACGGAAATCAATTTCACGTCCCTCAAGAGCGCAGGTCTCATAGTTGAGAGAATATTTTCACCGAATCGCAAGTGCGCGTGCTTCCGCCAATTATCGCGCATGCAAACAGTAATTCTGTTTGCACCGGCACGTATCTCTTGTTAGAGGCACGAGAATATGGTTAATAATTTCTCAGAAATAATTATTCCGTGTTCTGCCTTCTCTCTTTGTTTATTTTTTTTTTTACCCTTTTTTCACTTGAGCTCCTCTGCAATCCAAGTTTACAGCGCGTGATAAATAATGCTGAATGATTTAGGGGAGCACTTTTTGGTAAAAGGCTATCAAAAATTCATTCCTCTTAAAATCTTTTATAAGCTATGAACACTCTCCTTTTAAAAGTACAGTGAGTAACTTTTATATTTCAACAGTTTGAAAAGAATGAAATAATTATGGTACATATTATTTTAAAAGATTGATTGTAGATGACGGAATTCTAAAGTTAATTTATGAAATTATCAATATTTCTTGTAGAATGAATCTCAAACAAAACGATGTCTACTTTTAATCTTTCCTTAATATTCACGTACTTGTTACTCACGAAACTTGTTATTTTATTAAAGAAAAGGGATAATTTTGAAAGTTATAAATAAGGTTCTTCAATCAAATTACTGTCATTTTGATAAAAATCGAAACTCCGAAAAATCTTTCATCTATTCAACTAAATGTTAACATCTTCTAAAAGAATAATTTGTTTGGTACGTTTCAGAAGAGATGTTCAAATGAAATTTGATGTATCTTGGTCATTTTTAAATATTAGATTATCCTATAAAATTTCTTTCGTGATATTTTAAGAAAAATATATATATTAAGTTTAATACTTGTTTTATAAAATTACGCTTTCTTTTGAATTAAAATATGTATTTAGATCTTGAAAAAAATACTTGAATTTTGGTTATGATAACTCCTTAAAAAATAAAATCTTAAAGTTCCTCTTAGAAAACTTCATTTTCA